ATCAAACATCGTATAACGATAAAACTAAGTAATGAAATTCCCAGTGTAACGTGCTGATCCTTGAATCCCGGTTGCCACTGGAAACAACATAAAAGAGGATCACCGGGAGAGGAAAGATTCTGCCGCGTTCCGTTTCACGTAGCTCGATGATTGCTGCGAACATGTTTTGCAACGAATCTATGATAGTATTCATGGAGCTGCGTTGAATGTAACCAGCCCGGCTTAATATCCATTCTTCGCAATCGACGAATTATAGGCAAACGCGTTAGCACGAGAAAGCAAAAGATTAAACAGAACGCACGTTTCCCGGTGTTTCAAACAGAGAAAAATTGTTATCAATCGTTGAAAATATTGCGGAGATTCCGTCGAAAACACGGTAAACCGGATAGAAGGGGGAATAATGGAAATGCGTTTAAGCACACCCGTTTGATCAACGATTTTCATTCAGCTGGGATCAACAGTAAAAAACAAACGCAATCAACTGGTATTTATATGTATACGAACGCGGCGAATATGTTTTCGTCCGGTAGAAATAAAATTCTTCGGTGGCACTCTAGTTAGTATATTTCGTTTCGAGAGTTTCCGCGACCCCTCAATCGCTCTCATCTCGTTGTTTACCTCAAACCAACAAACTAGGAGATGATACAATATTTCCATTGCGTCCGTACTATTTCATATTTCGATGATAACAAATCAGAGAAACACGCATCTGTTGAGGCTTGAGCATTTCGTTAAAAATGAATATAATCGTCTTTCCGCGAATACTGCGATGAAACACGTATTTTGGCTTTGAGCTTTCGTTAAAATTGGAGGAAAGGCAGAACTAGTAAAAAAATATTGAAACGAAGTGAATAAACCGCAGATCGATTCGGGCAGGGAAATATGAAAAATATCGGACGATAGAATCTTTTCGTGGTATCAGTTGAATGATACGACGTGATTACTCAAACGATTATGTTCAGTAAAATATGAATTAACGAAAATCGTTGAACGAGGAACATTCGAATGGGAAATCTCGAACGTCTCCTATCCAAATGTGTTTACCCCGAAACGCTACTGACGAGTCTGTATCTTCCACTTTCTTTTTACAGAGCCAGAAGGGAAGCCTATCATTACCAGCGTCTACAATACTTCGGCGACATCGATTTATTTGGCGTGGAAGGCCCCTAGTCGTGACACCATCCACGGAGAGTTCCTCGGTTATCAGATCGGATATCGACCAAGAGACAAAAAGCACATAGAAGTAACAGACATATACATACGTGACCCGAACGTTGACGTAAGTTACGTAAGAATGCGTTTCAATCAATTCTTTTATCAGTGTCGTCTTTCGGTGTTGTTCCGCCACTTCTCGTTTGGTAAGGCCGCGCCGTCTTTCTTTTCCGTTACAGAATCACAGTATACACAACCTGGAGACCTACACGCAATACCTGGTATCACTGCGAGTGTTCAATCCGGAAGGACATGGACCTGAGACGATAGTTTCCGTAATGACAGACGAAGGAGGTAAGTCGAACAAACGAAAAATTGTATACGCGTGTCATCGATGAATCGACTGTATTCGTATTTGACGCCTTTGGGCACGATCGATAAAACAGGAAATCTAGATAGGTAACGTTGTACCTTCAGTGGATAACGATACTCCGAGAATATCGGTATTACAGAATTTGGTAAGGAAGATTTCTGTAAGGTTCTGCACTTACCGATGATCGTTTGAGAAACGTACGATCAGTGGATAAAAATGTTATCCATTTTATCAAAACTGCATAAAAAGGTTTCGAAATTCTGAATGCCCATAAAATGGTATATGATAACGTTAGTCGGAGAATTATCGACGAAAGATAAAATAAGGGGTATGTAAGTGGGAGGGTCGTTAAGTTTGATTGGTCCTTTGCTAGATGCCATTCGGTTCTTGGTTTACGGCCGGACGATAAGGGCTTATCAACTCCCGCTAGCACGTGGTTTTTATAGACCCCGTATCAAGATCACGATGTCTCTTCTTTTTTATCTTCGCTACGTTAAAAGGTAAGATTACGTGAAACAAGGAGAAGGTGTTCCGAGACGAAACGGTTTACAAGCCTCTAGAGACACCGCGTCAAGGTCTGAATTAATTTAATTGTACGCCCGGATAGCGTGAGTTTCGCTTAATCGCCCCTATCACTCGGAATACACCGATTACGCGGCAGATAGAGCGGCCGTAACGAAACGTCCATGACACGACCGCGCGATCTTTCCATAACTGGCGCAGTCAATGATACCATTTGAATTCGTCGGACGTCAGCGTCGGTGCTCCATTCGCAGGGCACAGTAAAAGCGAAACGCTACATTTCGGATCCTTTATACAGACCTCTCCTATTCTGGTCATGGTCATTTTTTACATTTCTTAATGATCCATGTGTCCCTGACGTCTATAAGAAATTTAACTTTTAGCTATTCCGTAACATGTGCGTAACACTGATATAAATCTACGTTAAAAGGACATATGCTAAAGATTTCTGGTGTCGCATATTTATCTAGTATAAAAAGGTACATGTTAAAAGGACAATAAATCTCATAGGCTGAGAAAATAATAGCAAGAAATTTACAAGAGAACAGTCAAAATATTCATACATCACACCATTTAGTATACGAAACAACTGTTCGCGATGATCGCTAATAAAGAGTTAACGTAAATAAAATTCAAATCCAAAGCCTTTAAAAATTGCATACCAATTATCAATCTAATGAAGCACGCCACGAGCAAGCTAAGATGCCAGCTCATGTGACAAATATTCTCTTAGAAATGTTTCCTGTCGCCTGAAAGGCGTCCCAAAATTCCCAGCGACAATGCGTCTGAGCGTGACATAGTGAAAAGAAAAACCTACTCGCGTTCCCTATCTGAAACGACCAACGGTCTCGACAGCAGAGGCTTATCAATTCCAACTGCCGTCGTATCCGCTGATACGTAATTACCGAACATCCTACCACGATCCCGCCGAGTCGTAGCATCGCTTTGTTCCTCGGTGTCGCCCATTGTTCCCGCGGCCGACGTGAGAACACGGTAACAGAGTCAGGAAATGACCCAACCACCCTTGGGGCTGCCTCGTAAAATTCGATCAGCAGAAAGTTCGCGGATGCGAAATTCGTCTCCACGTCTCTCTTTCTCTCCCCCGACTCTGTCTATGCCTCACGCTCGGCTTTATCCGCGTGTGGGATCATGACGGAAGGCGGCGACATCTGCCTCGAGATCCGCTCGCGCGACGGTAGCGCCCGATGACGCTCTAATGACACCGTTCCGTCCCACCGCGCTGGGAAGATTCTTATCGGCCGCTGAGAGAATTACGGGCCGTTCGTTCTGTAGACGAATCACGCACCCGGCAATGACAGCTACAGGCCACGTGGGTAAGATCAACTTCTACGTCCCTGAAGCGGGCCCGGCCGACCGGCAGGTTTCCAGCTGCTCCTCCCCGGTCGTCTGTGAGCAGCGGCAGACATTTGCGCGTCCCGTAACCACCGTTTGGTATACCAGCCGGACGGCACCGCAGGACAGAGCACTGCCCGTTGAGTTTTCATGGCCGCCCGCGCGCTTTTTCTTTTTCTTCTTGTTCTCTCCTTTTTTTCATGTTCCTCGATATAAGCGGCTCATCGTCGTCGTCACCTTCATGAGTCACGCGCGGCCCCAAGGCCCGGGGGCTGCCGCCTCTGTTCCATGTCGCCGATCCACACGGTTCCGCGTGCTTCGCTTTCGATCCTATCGCGGGATCGCCGAATATGATAATCCGGACGGTCCGTGCACGCCGAATCTTCCCGTCCCACGGACTGCCTGAAAATCCATACGTTGGCACAGGGCAGGGACCGTTGGCGAACGGGAGAGACGGCGAACGGCCAACTCAAGCGACCGACGAGGATCGAAGAGACAGCGACTGTGCACCGTTAAAAGAGGACGACGTCGCTGGTTAGACGGAGAAAGAAATTGTCAGGGAGAGAAAGAGTGGAAAGGGAGCCAGCGAAAGAGGAAGAAACAGCGAAAGGGAAACTAGGGGGACAAGGATACAAGAAGGAAAACGTGGGTGGATAAACAGTGGGACGTAGATGGAGAATGAAAGAGAAACGAAGGTATAGATATACAAATACCCAAAGGAGGAAAAAGACAGCGTGTCAGGCAGGGAAGAACGGCAAAAGCTAAACAGTGGAAC